TAGCCATATTTAAGCTTATGGGGACTAAGTGCACAGGCACGGCCGGTGCTGGAGAAAATGTTGCCCGCAAGATGTCAACACAAAACTGGACCAATTCCTCTGGAATTAGGGTAAGTAAGCAGCTTGTGGGGGGTTGGTTGGGGCAATTGGTTACCAAAAATATGGTACACCTATCCTTTAATGCAGAACTGAAGTCCCCCTCCAAAAATATTGCTACCGACTAGGTGAGCAGTAATTCTAGGGTGAATTTTCATGGTTAACTCTAAATATATGATCTATACAGGCTTTTAAAATCTTGCCTATGGACAATTTAGAGTACTGTAGTTTTTAGTAACACAATTTTAAGGCTTGACATGTCTAGTATCTATTAGGGTAAGAAGTGTGTAATGGACAGATATATGTTTATGTTAAGATCCACTGCTGTTCTGCCTGCCTTCACTTTGCAAGGGAATTTGCACTTTACATGGGAAGTTTCACCTTAGTGAATGTGAGAAAGCTCTGCTGACATCCAACATCCAATCATGTGCAAGCAAAAATCCTTTTTCTTTTTCAAAATCTCCTTGCACATTATTGGGTTTTGTTTGCAAAGTGAAATTTCACCACATTCACCAAGCTAAAGGGAAGCTTCCCCTGCAAAGTGCAAATGTGAACAGCCTATTTGCCTTCAGCAAATCAACCCCATTGGCTCTAGTTGTATAGGCAGCATTGTTTTAATAAAAATACTGGATACACTGTAGAATTTGCTTGGCTTACTGGGCTTAGGTTGCCCCTAGATTGGCAGATCTCCACTAAGAATAACAGGTCATCACCAAGACTGTAGTTTTGTAACCTGTTATTGGGTATTTCCTGATCTGGATAATCTTTTTCATGCTGCACTAATGGGATATAGAGGTGGTTTCCTTTTCATGGAGAAAAGAGAACAACATCTGCCCAGTCATATTGACCTCAAGCCAAAGCGTTCCAGGATAAGTTTCTTCAATACACTTCTTGATATTCAATATGAAAGAGCCTCGTCTTATGACCCACACTTCCACGGCACTGTTACACCACTGGCATACATTTATGTAATATGTCTAAAATACATATACTGTAGGTCTCCCCATGTCTTATCAGCATATTTAAAATGTTAGGAGACATTTTATACATGTATTAGGGTGAGCTAATGTGAGTGTTCTTCCCACCCCATCCCACCCCATGCCTTTATTTCTTCACTATGTGTTAGCTGGTACAAAACAGTGCTCAGGTATACCCTAGAGATCTAATCTAATGCAAGTTAAAAGAACCTCTCTCTGAAGGAATATTTTGTCTACGGAAAAAAAAATGCATCACGTACATTCTATCTTTTATAAATACTGTTTTAAAAAATTCAGTTGCCACGCTAATGTGAAAAATGTACATATATATGCATCTGTATATGCATAAAAGAGGCAACAAAGAGGTCAAGTTTAAACTGACACTAAAATCAAGAGTTAAATCTTAAAAATGCATTAGGGTACCATAACGATTAACAAAAATGTAACTTATTTGTGTATCACTCGGCTGTAGATCCTCAAATCATCTCTGAATTGGTGCTGGCACTGTCCTTCCTTCTGGAAGGTGGTTAATTTTGTTCCCCATGGTCCCTGTGTGTGTTGTAAAATAGCCACTACATCAAACTCACTCAAAGATTTCCCAGCCTGCTAAGTGAGTTGTTCCACCTGAGAGACAGGAGAGGTTTCTGTCCCGGAGTCAGGAGGGCTCCACCCTGGAACCATCCTGTGTGGCAAGCTGAGGAGATACAGCCTGTGTGGCAAGTTGCTGAATACACCTGTGTGGTGAAAAACCAGCCTGTATGGCAAGTTGTTGGAAAGACCAGCTTGTGTGGCAAGTAGGTTGAAAGAAGTACCTGTGTGACTGTGAGAGAGATACAGTCAGGACTATGCTGTGAAAGTAAAAGCCAAGAATCTGAACCAGTGGTCTTTTTGCAAGTACTATGTGTACTGTATGTTGCAAATCCCTTATGAGGGAAAACCTGTGTGGACTTTTTTGTGTGGATTTTTTGTGTCAATAAAAGTGGGCAAAGAAGCCCTTAAAAGAAGATTTAAGCAAGTGGAAGTGTCCTTTATGCCCTACTGTTTGGGGCGAGTTCTCACATAGGGGAAACTGTCTAGTGTAACTAGCATAAAACAAGACACTTAGCATCTTTGTGCTGATGTTTGAATCATTTCTTTTTATATGGTGTGCTGCCATTGAGATGCCATCAGTTCCAAGGGAGCCCTTGCTGAGTATAGCTACCCATGCTGCGATGTACCCTCCAGCTCTACTTATTGAAGTCACTGCTCATAACCAGCACCTAGATATCTCACTATCTCATGGCAATAGAAGAAAGGAAGTTAGAATCACCTTAGTTGTCACTGGTAACAATACGGGGTCTATTTATAGATGTTTTCACACAATATTTGCACAGCTTTCACCCTTTTTTTAATTAGAAAAATGTGTGACTCCTGGGTAAAAGTTGTGTGAATCTCCGGTGAAAACATTTATAAACAGCAATTGTTGCCATTCAACATAAAAGACAGTTCAGTAACACACAAGTAGAAGAATTTTATAGCTAAGGGTTAACCTTCCAAAGTATCCATGACTCTTCTTGCTACTAGTCTGTTCCAATATTCTTGTCCTAAAATACTGAAAACTTGGAATTAAATGTATTTTTTAGCCACATAATTTAAATTATGACCTCATGTTTAGATTTCACTGGAATAGTCACAAACAAAAGAGAAACATTTTAGATCCCGGCACTGTGCCAGTGATTTCGCAACCCTCATCATTACTTCATTGAAGATAACAGCAGTGGCTCACACCAGCTTCTGTTTTTCTTGGGTCTGCAGAGACAGGATTTTAGTCTGCCTTTTAAGGCAGGAAACCGTGTCTCAGGAAAGCTTGTAAAAATGATTTACTTCTCCTTAAATCTATAAAGATATAAATGTCTTACAGGATCACTGAGCACCTAACTGGCCAAGCCAGCGAGATGTTGCTACATACATGCTCCCTCACTGGAAAGTGTATTCCCCAGCATTTTGGCTAGAGAAACAGTGGCCCTGTGAGATCAAATGAATACTCTATTAGCAGTCCTCTTGCTGGCAGGATCTGAGTTCTACCCCCATAGACTTGCATTGAGTTCTAAGTTCGAGTTAGAACTTTTTCCATGTTCGAAAGTTCGAGTTAGAACCGAACACGGGGGTGTTCGGCTCATCACTAGTTGTTACGAGGAAAGGGATCACTAATGTGAGATGGCCCTAATGCAGTGTGTAAGGGTGTGCCCACACTGGGACCTGTTGACCCGAACCATGCTTTAGTACAATTGTCCCCCTTCCCCACTCCTCTGCTAGTCTGTGCTCAAACAGTGCTATAAGGAAGCATTCTGTGGCATGCTTACATTATCTCCTCTGCCAGCCAAACCAAAGTATTCCCTCCTTGAGATTTCGGTACCTGGACATGGGTTGCGCTCACAGTGAAGTGAACCGTACCAGACTCCAAGTGAACTGTGCCCCAGACCACTTTTGCCAAGCAGTGTCTGGCACAGTAAGCTAAACAGGCATGGGCACAGTTCGGAGCGCTCACACTAGTCAAATTACCTGGACTAAGGGGGTGAACCATACCCAGACATGTTTAAAACGCGTAATTTGAGTACAGTCCTAAAGTTTCTGTCTGGACATTCACCTCTCATACCCTTTATTATTTATTTATTTCTGGCATGCTGGATGCTCACTGTCAAACAACAACAACAACAACTTGTTTTTAATCACCTTGGGCAAAAGTTAAAGTGCACCTGTCATAAAAACATGCTGTTGCATTATTGTCTAACATCAGGCAGCAAAAAGTACCTACAGACGCCATGTGAAAATCAGTACCTATGCACTACTGGAGACTCTGGATTAATAATGAATGCAAATTCGGACTTGCTACAAAAGCAATTGTGACATTCTACTGTTACCGAAATACAATAAACATACATCTTTATAGGTCACCGAGATGTGTACTTTACATTGTGGAATATAGAGTTAATTTAGGCATTCCGACTGTGGTTCCAAGTCGTAGTCTGAATACAATGCATGTCTCAATTTGGGAACTAGCAGGAGACAGTTACATAGACAAATATACAGTATATGTGTAGCCTCTTGGCGTACCTGCTATGAGTTATGGCAATAAAAGCTGTCAATTGACATAAAAAAATGGTCAGATATGTAAGCATGGGATCTCTCAACATCCTTTACAACAACTTCCCAGGCCACTAACAGCTACTGTGATAGGTTATCTTAGGAGAATAAATAGCAGTTGAAAGAAGGTTTTCTACAGTGTCTGATCACTTCCCCCCAGGATCGGCCTACCAGGACACTTGGTAGCTGTTGAGAACAGATATGAGATCATATTCTGTTCTTGCGGAAAACATTATTAATGTTCATAGTGGTTTTCAGGTTCGGAAGATGTGGCAGTTTGCCTGTGTGATGATTCTCTTAACTACAAATAAGATACCGTGTGTTCACAGAAGTTTGGATTTCTGAAAAAATATGGCCAACATATACCAAAGAACTACTATGCTACAATATACTATACCATGCAATAATGTGTGAGGAACAGCACAACTGTCTTTGGCCAGATTACTATTACCGTTGGACCTTTTGTGAAAACTACAGGGCAGGAACGAATTAGTTGTGCCTAGTAACTAACGAAAAGCCCAGGTCTAACCTTTCTGTTAAAGGGTAGAAAATTAAACCAAACATTTGAATGGTTATGGGCAACGTCACCTTTATCCTTTGCAGTATTTGTCCACGAAGTCCATTCTATAATTTCTGTTTCCTCAGGGCAGATTAGTACAATGCTAACCACACATATGGAATTTCTAGGCAAGTCGGAATGTTTACTGTCACCTCCTTTAAGCCGCACATATAATGTTTTACTAAAATAAACTTAATTACCGCAAATTTGTGTTACATTTAAATGTTAGTATATAGCAGTCTTACCTTATCTCCAGGCTGAGGTCTCATAATGGACACCCGGCTGTAACCTTTCCTCAGAAGGACCCATAAAGCATCCAGTTTACCCTGAAAATATTAAAAGAACACAAGCTGTTATGTCATGTTTGTGAAGTTAATGAGACCCAAATAAATCCTATTAGGTTCATCAGAAACAAAGCTGATAAACAAAGAATAAACCCATTCAAAAACTGTATTAGAGTTTTGGATGCACCTCAATAGTTTGATTCATCTGCCAGCTTTTTATAGCTTTTGGGGCACTCAGAAATTAAAATATCTCCAGTTTCCAGCTTCCCAGTACAGGAGGAGGAGGAGAAAGAGAAGGAAAAGAAGAAGAAGAAGTAACAGAAGAAGAAGTAACAGAAGTGGAAGGAACAGAAGAAGGAGAAGAAGAACAAAAGTAGATGTAACAGAAGTAGAAGAAGTAACAGAAGTAGAAGGAACAGAAGTAGAAGAAGTAACAGAAGTAGAAGGAACAGAAGAAGAATGAGGAAAAGAAGTAGGAGGAAGAGAAGGAAGAGGAGAAAGAGGAGGAGGAAAAGGAGAAGGAAGAGAATGAGGAAGAGGAGGAGGAATAGGAGAAGAAGTGGAAGGAGGAACAGAAGAAGAAGAAGGAGGAACAGAAGAAGGAGAAGGAACAGGAGAAGAAAAAAGAGGAGAAGAAGAAGGAGACGGAAGAACAGAAGAAGAAGGAACAGGAGAAGAAAAAGGAGGAGGAGAAGAAGATGGAGAAGGAGGAGCAGAAGAAGGAGCAACAGAAGAAGGAACAGAAGAAGGAGGTACAGAGCAAGGAGAAGGAGGAACAGAAGAAGGAAAAGAGTAGGAACGGATGGAGGAGAAGGAGGAACAGAAGAAGGGGGAGAAAGAGGAACAAAAGAAAGAACAGAAGAAAGAGGAGGGCCCGAAGAAGGAGAAGGAGGGGAAGGAGAAACCAGCAAAAGCAGCATAACACTATCAGCATAAACAAGTGCTTGGTGTGTTCTAAATTTAATAGAAGGCAGAAACTCTACATTATGAGTAGCTCATAGATCAATTACCTAAGTTCCACCCAAAGCTGAGACATCAAATTTAGCACAACCTACATTTTAAAGTGAACCAGAACTAAGTTAAATTAGTTTGAATAGATTAGCAAAGCATTAGCACAGTAAAGTTGTGAGAAACCTATTTCTGATCTGTTAAAATTTGATCCAGCAGTACTCCAGTTCTGAGACTTGAAGCTGGTTTGTTAGGTCAAGGCTGCTCTGTATTGTGAGCCTTCATTCATTAACTTTCACTGAAGACTCTGCTGACATCAAGGCTCCAATGGAGGCCATATACCTAGCCCCAATCCATAGCGCTGCAGGACCTGCTTGTTACCGTTCAGAGGCAAGTGTATGGAGAGTTTACTGCCCCTAGCTTGCCTTGTTTTCACCTGACACTTTAACAAAAATATTATGGTAGCTAAATAAACTAGATGCTAACTAGCATAATAATTGACCAATGAAACTATTGGTAACTTATCAATGTTTCTCAAAACACATAGGGTAGACTTGTGCGCCGTCAAAAAATGTGTACCGTTTCGTAATATCCATTATTTCGTATTTCGTAATTTGTATCCGAAACTCAATTCGGATTCGTACGAAATAAGGATTTTCGTTAGTTTCGGCACATTTTCGTAACTTTACGAACATTCGTTATGATGAAGTTAAAAAGCAAAAGCTTTCAGCACGGCTCAGCCGAGCCGATGCATATGCGTTCGGCTCGACTGAGCCGCTCGGCCATGTTCGGGAGCTGTACGGGCTATTGTGAATAGCCCGTACAGCACCCCTTCGGTTCTACTGAACCGAAGGGGTCCTGTGGCCGAGGCTAGCCGAAGGATCGGCCGAAGCTACGGCCAGATCCTTCGGCAGCTTCGTGGATATACCCCATACTGTACCTCAGCTTTGGGTGGAACCCATAGGGTTCAGTTACCCATCTCATAATATGCCTTATTCAGTAATTACTTCCTATTTTGTAGTGCACTAATCCATTGCAACTAGCCAGAATCTATCTTGTTGTTGTCTAACTTCAGCAGAATTAATTCTGATTGGTTGGTGTAGGACGGTTACTGTACTTAAGATTTATCACATATGAAGAAAGATTTGAATAAGGCTGATATGTGTGAGTCTTGATTTAAAGGTATGAGCAAAAACAAAACTGAATAAAGACAAGAGGATCTTTTTTATTTCCTTGTATTTGTTCAGCAACATAGTGGTCATTTTGTTGCTAATCAAGCCTCCTTTTAGCCAACTGAACTTAACTGTGGCAAGATGGTGATTCAGCAATTGCCAGCTGACAGCCAAAAAAATATAGGGATTAAAAATCTTGCCAATCAATAGCAATAAGTAATGCAATACCCCAAGGGGATGTATGCACTTTTATATCATCAATTGTATGTAAGGTAACAAAGACTATTCATATCAGCCTTTTCGGGTTTGGGTTTTATGTATAGTACCCTATTCTTATAGTACAGCTTACTAATATTATTATTATACAGGATTTATTTAGCACCAACAGTTTGCACAGCGCTTTACAATATAAGGAAGACGTTACAATCACAATACAATTCAAGACAAGATGGTAAGGAGGGCCCTGCCCGTGAGGGCTTACAATCTAAAGGGGAGGGGCAAGTGATACATGAGGAGGTAGCTGTGTGGGAATTAATTGTATGAGAACATGATGGTTGAGTGGTTAGCTTAAGGTGGGATTGGCTTCCCTGAAGGGATCACCTAAAATCAGAGTGGAAGATAATCGGACAGGTTGGGGTAAAGAGTTCCAGAGGATGGGAGAGACTCTAGAGAAGTCCTAGAGGCAAGCAAGGGAGGAGTTGACGAGGGAACTGGAAAGCAGGAGGTCTTTGGAAGAGAGGAGGGGATGTTTAGGGTGATACCTTGAGACAAGGTTGGAGATATAGCCGGGGGCAGAGTTGTGGATGGCTTTGTAAGTCGTTGTTATTATTTAGAATTTTATCATTTGAGCTATTGGAAGCCAGTGCTGGGATTGGCAGAGGGGGGTAGGGATGGAAGCCAGTGGAGGGATTGGCAGAGGGAGGTTGCAGACACTGAGCGGTTGGCTAGGTGGATGAGTCTAGCAGCAGCATTCATGATAGACTGAAGGGGGAGGAGCCTGTGTAGTGGTCGGCCAATGAGGAGGGAGTTGCATTAGTCAAGACGAGATATAAGAAGTGAGAAGATGAGTAATTTTGCGGTTTCATTGGTGAGGAAGGGGCGTATTTTGGAGATGTTACAAAGGTGAAGGCGCAATACTACATACAGTATTTAAAGTGCATCTTAGTTAAAACTTTTTTAAAATTATTTTTGGATACAGAACCCTTGCCATGTTATTTTTTTTTCTTTGTATCTGTCCAATTTTGGGAGATCCTTACTTTCTGTCCTAGAAATAAAACAGGTTGAGAGCAGATCTCTCCAAAAGGAGAAATCCCACATTGGACAGTTCTCACCTGAACATGTTTACATTGGAAGACTTCCCCCCTGCTCTTGTTCCATTGACAAACCAGAGTTCTGAATGGGAAGACCAACTACAAGTTTCCACTTCATCCATGAAAGAGGAAGTGTTTTTTAGAGAAGAACTCCAGGATCTTGAAAAATGAACCCTTGCAGTGGGACTACCACTGCACTGCAAGTGTTAACTGCTTGTTTTTCTCTAGGGACAAAAAAAACAAAACTATCCCGATCCTTTGTCTTGTTGCAGTGATCGCTCACCTCTCTTCACCTCTGCTCTGGCTATAGTATGTCCCTCGGCGGCGTCACATCTAATAATCCTGTATTAGAAGTGATAACGTCACAGTTTCTTACATCGGCTGCAGGAACTGGTCTAGCAGCTAGATGGGGCTAAAGATCGGATAAGTATTTCTTTTTTTTTTTTGCTCCCTAGACAAAACGAGCACCTAACCTTTGCAAAGTGGTGGTAGCCGCACTGCAAGGGTTATTTGTTTAAAATTCAGGAGTTCCTTTTTAAGGAAAGTCTATCATGAAAAAAATGGCGGTATAAAAGGCAGGTACCTAGGGAGACGCGTACCCAGTCTGAAAAGCAAATCTTTAATTTCGGGCAATGCCGCTAAAACCCTCCCTAACACATTCCTATTGATGGGCTGTTTCACTGGCCAATAGGAATTTTTAGGAGGCAACATGGGGCAGGCAAGCCTCTGAACTATCAGTAAGTGCTGGAGGTTCGCTTGCCAAAATGGCCTGGTGCTTGGTTATAAAAAACAGGAAATTAGAGGCCGTTGCATGTATGTGCAGGCATCTTTAGGCACTTTATACTTTTACCATGTATTTTTTTCATGACAGTTTATTTTTAAATAGGAATTTTAGCCTATATCATGCTGTTTTAAAACAATGAATCCATGTTCAAACACCCACTTTATAATGCATCCTTATGATGTATCTGTTGTTCTGCCTTTTAAGCTGTAAGGAGTCAGCCGGATAGTTAAACTTTGGCAACCCATTTATTATTGTTTCCCGGAGCCTTGAAAAAGACCTCAAGCATTCCAAACAATGAATTGCACTAAAGCTTTAGAGGTCTTTTTATAAACATCAGCAAAAACATTGCTTTATATTTTGCAAAATGTTTCTTTTAGATTATCAAAGCTCAAAATGAAATGTTACAACATGATAAAAGATACACAAACATTAAGAAAATGGCAGAGCAATGCAAAATCAGAAGAAAAAAAAGGTTTTTCCTTTTCAAGCTCTTTGTTTCCTTCATACTAGTGGGATACGCCTGGATTTGGGTGGCCGGGGAAATTTTTGGCAAAACAGTGGTAGAAAATCTGACAATTTCTAAATTGGCAAACTTAACTGCAAAATAAATGTTGCTGGGTTGCTTTTGTTGTAGTATGGCAAAAATAAGTGGAGAAATTGCCCAGAGGATCTTTTTTTACAACCAAAATTGGCAGTGACATTTGGTTTAAAGGAATGTTGAAATAGCAATATTAAGCATTGGTCTGAAATGACCCTTGTATTACGTAGTTGTTAGTAGGTCTAAAGGAGATTGTACATCAGATTGTAACTTGTGTGGTGAGCTTTATA